CCTCACAGTCGGAGGCCCCCGCGCTCCGCTCCTCATTCTCTGCTTCTCTTTCCCGTCCCCCACCACGTGCTGCCAGAAACGCACATTAGTGGGGTTCCTTCAGTGCTCCACGGTCCCTCCCTTGTTGGAGAACGCCTCTTCATTCAGATCTCGGTTCCATCCAGGAAGCCGCTCCAGGTCTTCAGGTCGGATGGCCCCTGTGTCCCTTCTTGACACTGAATCCAGGGGGCACGGCAGAGACCCCCGTGTGACCGTGTTCCATGTCTGTCTGTCCCCAGCCCTGCTCGGCGGTGAGTACCAGCCGCCCAGGGACCCTGTGGGTCTGTGCACCTGTCTGTCTGCAGCCCCTTGCTCAGCCACCCATAAACATCTGCGGGATGAATGAAGGAAGGAAGCAGTGAAGGTACTGCTATGGACCGAACGTTTGTGTCCCTCTGCTTTCATGGGGTGAAGCTTCTCTGTAACAGGATGGCACTGGGGGTGGGCCCCAGGTGGGACTAACGCCTGCGCGCACGCCAGGGGCCAGGTGAGGGCACAGCCAGGAAGAGGGGCCTCCCCAGGGACTCCGGCTTCCAGAACTGTTGACGCCCCCAGTCCGTGTGTTCTGTGGCAGCCCCGGGACGGGTCTTCTCCGAGACCTGAGCTTGGCGCTAAGGTGATGCTGGTGCTACTGGACTTGGATGCCCTGTTTCCCACTCCAGAACATTCCTGAGCCTGCCCTTCTGGCTCACTGTCGTGCAGACTTGCTCTCAGCAGGCTGCCAGGGCCTCCAGTGTATGGACAGACGGCTGTCCCTCGTGTTGTGGTCTCACTTGGGCGGCGGCCACCTCCGGCTGGACCCAAGTACCTTTGTAAGCGGGAGAGAATGGAGGGTCTGCTTGTGCCCCCTCCCCTGCAGCGGCCGCTCTGGTATCCTCCCCGAACCCTCAACCCAGTGTGCTAGTCAGGAAGGAAGGAGGGAGCCATGTGCACGTCCTTGTGGGGTCCCCCAGGTCAGTGTCAGTCGAGAGTCATCGTAAGCAATAGAAACTCAACTCAATTAGGCTTAAGCAAAAGGGGGAGTTTACTGGCTCATGGAATGAATGGCTTCAGGCAAGACTGGGTTTGGTTAGCTATGCTGTGCAACGCAAAACACCAGCTGGTGTCACTTTTCCCAGTTCTGTGGGCTGGCTGGGCTCGGGGCCTCGAGCAGCTGCAGTCAGAGAGTGGCCAGGCCCAGGGTCGCCGAAGCCTCCCTCCCTCTCGCTCTGGCCCCTCTGGGCTCGCCTGTGTGGCCCGGACTTCCGTGTCGGCTCAGAGCAACAAGAGGCAGCAGAAGCTGCGAGACAGGGGTGGCAGCTGGGGCTGGGCCAGGGTCACTTCTGCTGTCCCCCCTGGGTCAAGTCAGGCCCAGGCCAGGTGGGGAACTTGGCCCTGAGGGTTGGTGGAGAGTGGCGGGGTCATGTGGCACGGAAGCAGATGGGATGGGAGGCATCGTGGCCCCTTTGAAACACTGTTTGCATCAGGCTGGTGCAGGTGCTCAAACACTCCCGGCAGAAACATGCATCTCTCTGTGCTCAGACTCCTCTGGGGAAGGCACCCCAGGGGTGAGAGCAGGGTTGGTCCTGATTCTGGGCCCCGCGGCGGCAGCTCCGAGGGAGCTGGCCCGGGCTGCGTGGTCGGCCGCACCCAGGCTGGAGGAAACGGGGAGGCCGGGGGGCTCGGCTCTCCCAGGGGACACAGTGGTGCTATTCCTGGGGGAGGGCACCTGGACGCCACGCTGGCCACGAGGCCTACAGGTGGCTGTCATCTTTCCACTTGCAGCTGCTTGGGTCCGCTTTGAACCACAGGTGTGCGGGACACAGCACTGGGCCCCGGGGCCGGGAAGGGCTGCTCCTCTGGCTGGGAAGACCCCCGCCCCACCCCTGCCAGTTGCCCTCCCACCCTCCACAGAGACACGGAGAGGACAGCGTGTCCACCAGGCCCTCCTCACTGGGCCCGGGGCTCTGCTGTGCATCCTTTTCTTGCTGCAATTCCGAGGATCCCTGTAGTTCCATCCAGCGAGCGTGCGCTCTCCAGAGCACGCGCGGTCTCTGGGGAGAGTGGGACAGCGCCGTGGTTACCGTGCAGGCTCTGCAGCCACCCTGCCCAGTCCCGATGCTGCCTGCCGCCCGCCGCATGGCCTCTCTGTGCCTCAGTTTTCCCACCTGTAAAATGGGGACACCGATCACGCCCGCTTCACAGCGTTGTTGGAAGGGTCTTAGAACAGTCTTCCTTGCTCCTGGGAAGCTCCTGTTAAATGCTCGTGATGGTGCTTTTCTTTATCAAGTGTTCTTACATAGTAAGGACATGGAATTTCTGGACTGTTAAATGTATCACACGTAGTTTTTTCTTCCTGGTTGGCCGGTTGCCCTCTGATGTTGTTACGGTGCATTATTCACCTTGCAGAATTTTGTATTTCTGCGCTCGATTGCATCTGTCTCTCCTTGTGGCATCTAGATGATGTTTTCCTTTTCTTTTTCTGGGTCTTGTTGAGGAAGACCTCTCCTCATTTTATCTTTCTGGGTAGACTCGGATTTAATGCTCATCCGAAGAAAGAAGTGGGGAATCGACTTGTCAATCATCAGAGTCCCTTCTTTTCCCTCCCGCTTGTTTCTCCCCTGTGCTGATGACCCGTGCCCTGCAGCCGCGCTCGTCGGGGACGCAGGCGTGACCGGCTCCCTGTGAGCTCCTAAGACTCTGGGAAGACGTGAATGGATGTTTAGAGCTACAGCTGTTCCGCAGATAGGAGCGGTTATTGTGCAGGTTACACGGATGAAAACGAAGTGCTCGCCCCACAGGCAGCATCGTCTGCCTCGCGTCCACCTCACCTAACGCCAAACCGACTGCCTTCTTTTTCTTTTTCTTCCTGGACAGAAAGACGTTTGGCCAAGAGGGATTGAATAAAAGGAATTTCTAAATGCAGCAAAGTGTTTGGAAAAAATTAACTTCCATGAATCCTCTGGGAATTCATTTCATAACAAAAATTTCACAATGCATGTGTTTGCTTCCTGGTGAAACGGGTCGTTTCTGAGAGCGGGGAGGTTCCGCAGGAGGCTCGGCGGGAGGGCGGCGGTTTGTGCTGGACTCTGGTCCTAGGCCGCCAGGCGGGCGGGAGTGGCTGGGCCCTGAGCACGGAGCGGGCTCCGGGAGGGCCCTGGGACCACCACGACCTCTGAGCAGCCTTCCATCCCCAGTCCCGTCCTTCGGGGCACTTGGGGGCTCTTTGCTTTCCTCAGGAGCCCTAAGGACACACTCCTATGAGGTGGAGTTCTACTCTAGCTTCTCAGAGATTCAGAAAGTTCCAGGCCCCTGCCATTATTTTGAGGTTCCTCTTAGATTAAAAAAAAATGGAGAGATTCCAAACCAGGATTATAAAATTATGCTTTTCTACATGCTTCTCATGAACCAAATTAGGGCTTGGAGCCCACAAAAGCGTAATGTAGTCTGATCGTCACAAGACATTCGAACAATTTGTAACAAACGTGTCAGTCCATAAGGCGTTACCGTCAAGGTGGTTGATGACAGGATGCAAGTTCATATGTGATGGCAAATGTCTGCTGATTCAGTGACGCAGGCTGGGTCCGTAATCTCATGTGAAGATAAGGCCCAAAGTCTAAGTGTGGTGCCAGGTGTATAAAGAAGGCCCGGGGCAAATGGCCCTCCACCCCTGCCCTCCCACCCCGAGCCACGGGCCTGTTTTGATCAACTCTGGGCACTGACCTCTCCCCGCCGGGCCAGACTGGGAGGGCTGGGGCAGCCAGGATGGTTGCCAGCTCCCACACGAAGTCCACGCGGGTCGCCAGCTCGGCACTTACCCCTGTACGTGCACGCTGCCTGTCTCTGTCTCTCACGTGGGCGCGCGCACACATGCACACACATGCGTGCACAGAGTTTACTCATGAGCAGGGAAAGGGTAAATCTCACTGGAGTCAGCCCCACAGGTAGAGGCGGTCCGCGCTCTGGAAGGCAGTGGTGGGCAGCCTAACATGCAGCTGAGCCTCCGGCCAGCTCCGGCCCCCACGTCCCCTCCCCGAGGAGCCCGGCGCCCAGGCCTGCAAGGGGGCTGCAGGACGGGGTCTTCCCCGCCAAGAGCTGGACCTGCTCTCTGCTGAGACGCAGCACGCACGGAGCTGGCTCGGAAGCATCTGGGCAAAGGCCCCTCAGTCCACGTGGTGCAGTACGGGGTGTCTTGGAGTCTAGCTGCAGGGCCCCCTGGGCCCCCCTCTGTGCCTCTGCTGGAAATTACTATCCTAAAGGTCCAGACCCTTAAAAGTGGGCTTCCCCTTTGGGAATTCCCCACTAGGAACTTAGCCTAAAGGATAGAATATGACTTTTGCCAGAAGATTTAGCTTCCACTTTTGTCTGGGGAGTAAGAAGTAGAACGAAACCGTGCCGTCCTAATTTAGAATATAGTGCCATGCAGACACACCATGAGTATTTATGGCCATCAGAGGAAGTTCAAGATGCAGGAAGTGTTTTTAAGATGTGGTTTATAAGCCAGTATGCAGGAGCTGGTTCCCTTCTTCGTAAAACAGGCTGGCAGGGAAGGTTTTAGGAGGAGTTACCATAAAGACGCTTCTGGACGAAAAGCAGGAGCAAGAACAGGATGGTGTAGGTCATTGGTATTTGCGGGCTCCGGGGCCGCAAGGGTTGAGCTTGGGTGGGGGCTTGATGCCGGTCCGGGGACCTCAGGCAAACTGGCCTCAGGGTCTTCATTTAATGGGGATGATAACCTGGTTTTCCTGATGTTGAGGAGGTAATTCGCTCAGAACTCTTGGGAAAGGGTCCAGTACTCTGAGCTTTTGATAAATATGGCCTATTGTTATTGCCTGTGTTTTCTGAATTGAACATGAGTTGTCTCTAGAATGAGAAAAAAATGGCTTTTCACGTGAAAAGTAAGGAGTGGAGAGAACCACCTGCTTCTGTGGGGGTCCCTTCTGCTGTCCGTCAGTCTTCACCCTGTCGCCTTCCTTCCTCAGGGGTCACGTTTTCCTTCTTCTGGAAGACACGAGGCGAGCAGTCCAGACCGACCCCTTTTGCTTACGGGGGGCAGGTCATTTCCGACGGCTTCAGAGTCTGCTCCAGCGGCGGCAAGGGCTCGGTGGAGCTCTACACGCGGGAGAACGCCATGACCTGGGAGGCCACCTTCAGTCCGCCAGGTAAGGGCCCGGCCGGGCCTCTGCGCTCTGGGCTTCCCGGGGAGCCCTGCCGGAGAGGGCCTGCACTTCCTCCACCCCCGCTGAGAGCCTGCCTCGGGTAGCCTGACACGTGGCCTCGGCTTCCGTGTCCTAGAGGGAAGGCGCCAATGGGACGTGCCCTGCACACGGTCTGGGGCATGAAATTCAGTAGTGCGCGCCAGGTGCTTGGCATGGTGGCCACTGTTTCTACTTCTCCCTCCCTCCCCTCCCCTGCCCTCCCCTCCTCCCCTCGTTGTCCCCCTCCTCTCCCCGGCTGCCTCTTACTTCTTCTCCTGCCCCGCCTCCTTCCCATGCCCCACCCCCCAGTGGTATAGACTTGGCAATATTGAGAATAGGATGTGAACATTTTCTGGAACAGAGGCTGAAGACCAGGGGAGGAAGGGTGGTCTGGAGGAGAGGACTTGGAGCTGTGGGGAGGGGTGCTCTGGGACAAGTGGGGGGCAACACTGGACTGTGTAGATGTTGGAGAGTTTGCAGGTAGGTGTTGTAGGGCCTGCATGGCTCTGGAGATTCCTGCTTTCCCTGTGGCGTGAGATCAGGTCATGCACTGGGCACGAGTCAGAGGCCCGGGGCAGGAAGCTGGGGGAGCAGAGGGTCCGAAGCGGAAACTGGACAAGGGAGAGAAGAGTTGGGGTGATGCTGAGCGGGGAGCCCAGTCCAGGCCGGGGACTAGGAGGGAAGCACGGAGGGGGAAGGGGGCAGAATGAAGTCCTCCAGTAGGAGAAGATATTTTTGAGATATTTAAGGACAATTCATTTTCTGACCCATCTAAAGACGAGGCTGTGTGTCTCAGTTGTTAAAAGACACAGACAACTCTAGAGCCAAACAGGCTGGGTCAAACCCTTCCCTGTACCATGCTGCCTGTGTGAGCTGGGAGCCTTACTCACACCAAGCCTGAATATCCACCTCGCCTCTGCAAGAGGTCTGGGAGAATCTTGCCTATTTGCTTTCTCTGATCCCAGGCCAGGAAGAATCTCTTCCTCCCTCCCCCCATACAGAACTGCCTGTACCTTGTTCATGGTGTTTATCCTGTTCTACCCAAGGTCAGGTTCTTCTGTAAGAGTCTTATCTCTGTGCTCCTCGGGGGCTGACACTCTATGGGGCACCTAGTAGGTTTCTTCTATTTTCTATTCTATTCTTCTTTACCTCATATTTTAAGGTAAAGTCCTACTGAACTCTCTTTTTCCACCCAGGGAAATGGGGAGAATTGTAAACATTTCTGCCTGGCAATACATTCTTTGTTCATTGAAGAAATCTGTTATTCTTGCTTTAAGTGCAAAGACAATAATACTTTGGACCCATTTAGGACCCAAGTGCTTTCCAAAGACTCAAAATTAGAAAAGCTGCACAATCCTGAGCAAGAAAGGTCCTGGGTAATTGCTGGGTGATTGGTTGATTTATAGAACTTTATCTTTTTAAAAAATTATTTTGTTTTTCATCATGGTAAGTGTAGTCTTTAATCCCTATCACCTATTTCACCCAGCTCTCAACCCCTTCCCCTCTGGTAACCACTAATTTGTTCTTCTTGGTTTGTCTTTTTGTTTTGTTTCATAAATTCCACATGAGTGAGATCATATAGTAGTTGTCTTTCTCTGACTTATTTCACTTAGCATTATATTCTCCAGCTCCATCCATGTCATTGCAAGGGGCAAGATTTCATTTTTTATGGCTGAGTAATATTCCATTGTATATATACCACATCTTCTTTATGGATTCATCAGTCCATGGACACTTGGGCTGCTTCTCTAATTAAGCTATTGTAGATAATGCTGCTATAAACAGGGGTGCTGTATCCCTTTGAATTCATATCTTTGTGCTCTTTGGGTAAATACCTAGTAGTGCAATTGCTAGATCGTAGGGTAGCTCTATTTTTAACTTTTTGTGGAACCTCCATACCGTTCTCCAGAGTGGCTGCACCAGTTTGCATTCCCACCAACAGTGTAGGAGGGTTCTCTTTTCTACACATCCACGCCAACATCTGTTATTTCCTGACTTATTAATTTTAACCATTCTGACCAGTGTGAGGTGGTTTTGATTTGCATTTCACCGACGATGGGTGATGTTGAGCATCTTCTCATGTGTCTGTTGGCCATCTGGATGTCTTCTTTGGAGAAATGTCTGTTCATATCTTCTGCCCATTTTTTTAAATTGGGTTGTTTTGGGTGTTGAGTGTATCAGTTCTTTACATACTTTGGATACTAACCCTTTATCTGATATGTCATTTGCGAATATCTTCTCCCATTCCATAGACTGCCTTTGGTTTTGTTGAATGTTTCCTTTGTTGTGCAGAAGCTTTTATTTTGGTGGTGTCCCAGTAGCTAATTGCTGGGTGATTTAAGATGATGCCTGGCTCAAGGTGATACATGTCCTTTAAAGGGCTGCCCTGTTCCTTCCAGAAACAAGCCCATGAGATGTCTTAACACAACACTTGCAAAACAAAGTGAGGCCCTTTGTGGGGCAAGCTGCCGTCAGTCTGACGAACATTCTGCTTATTGGTGACTCTGGTTCTCATGCCAGAGAGAATGAGCCAGGAGGGTGGCCCTACCATCGTACCACCATGTTGGTTAATATCACACATACTATGTCAGAGCAGAGATGGATACCAACAACTGTGGGCTGAATCAGGCCCTCAGATAAGTTTTATTATCAGATAGGTTTTATTGACCTGCACTGTGATGGCCCTAGGCAGGACTAAAAAAAATTTTTTTTGAACAACTTATGGCCATTAGCTATTATTTCATTTTAATTTAAAATAACAAAGGGTCTCTTTGGACTGCTTCTGGAATTTTGGGGATGAGGTAATTTCTTCCCTGTGCTTCAAAGGACTGAGAAAGGGGAGTCTACATTATGATCCATATGAGGACTCATCAAGGTTAACAGTGACTAATCCTCTCAGGAGGGATGTACTTAACAACTGGGAGACACATGCATGGGGAGCTCTTCCCACATCAGCAGAATAGTGATCTTTGCTCTTTTTAGGTCCCTACTGGACTCATGTCCTGTTTACATGGAAATCCAAGGAAGGCTTGAAAGTCTACGTCAATGGGACCTTGAGCACCTCTGACCCAAGTGGCAAAGTGTCTCACGCCTACGGGGAGCCCAGCGTCAACCTCGTGATAGGGTCTGAGCGGGACCAGACCAAGCATTATGAGGATGGAGCTTTTGATGAGTTCATCATCTGGGAACGGGCCCTGACCCCGGACGAGATCTCGATGTACTTCACAGCTGCCATTGGTCAGTGGGCATGTGGGGGAGGGCTCGGGCCAGCTCTGCCCATCTCTGGAAGGGCAAGTCTCCTTCTATCTGCCTCCCTTACTAGCACTTCTCACTCCGCAGTCTCCTTAGGTGGCTGTGCTAATGAACCTCATAAATACGGCCATTTCTCTAGAACATCTGTTCCCTAAGATGAAGGAACTGGCAACTTAGAGAGACACTGGGATGAATATCTTGCTGGTCATCAGGGGGTTTCGAGGTGCACATGATGATTACAGACAACTTTGGGAGCAGATATTCCAGGTCCATTAATGCATTTGATCAACAAATGTTCACCGGGTGCCTCCTGCAAGCCAGACTCTGATGGGGCCTCAGGGAGCCTCAAGGATGCCCCCTTCTTGCTCAGTACAGAGTGGTTGTTCAGAGACAGGGCCTGAGGGACGGGTAGCCTGGGTTCAAATCTTCACTCAGCCACGATGAACCATGGGACTTGGGAAGTCACTCTTGTTGAGGTAAAATTCATGTAACATAAATTCAACCGTTTTAAGGTATATAGTCTAGTGGTACTTACTCTGTACACCATATTGTGCAGCCAACCTCTCTGGTTTTAAAACAGTCTCATCACCCTGGAAGGAAATCCAGCACCCACTAGCTATGGCTCCCTGTGTCCCCCTCCCAGCCCGTGGCCACCACTGATCCACTTTCTGTCTCTACAGAGTTTCTTCTGGGTCTTCCATGTACATGGACTCCTGCAATATGTGACTTTTTGTGTCTTACTCTTTCCAAATCACAGCATTCCCCTTTGTAAATGGATGGAAATAGTACCACCCATGCCCCGCGGGGCTGGGGCTTCGCAGACAGAGTGTGACGGGTGTGAGGCATTAGCACAGTGCCTGCATGTGGCAGCTTTTTGCAACATTTTCACTGCTTTTAAGATTAATGCTTACTTTCCCTTCGGTCCGTTTTCATTCTGCCAAGTGAACACACTGATTCTTTAACATAAAATCATCTGCCAAAAAACGACAGTCACTCATAAACATCCGTTGGCTGGCCATTGCACTGACACCACACCAGCAGGGGCAGGTCAGGACCAGGTGAAAGCCTGCCTCCCCTCAGGTTCTGACAGTGAACCCCTCAGCTGTTAGGACCCTGTCATTACGTGACAGAAAACACAACTAAAGTGACTTATGCCAAGAAGGGAATTAAGCAATCTCACGCAATGGAAACAACAGAAAATCTGCTTCAAGACCAGTTTGCTCTAGGTGCTCACATGTGTCACTAGGAGTTTCTGTGTTTGACTCAGCTTCCTTCTTGTGGTGCCGACATGGCTGCCATTCCTTCCAGGGTCCCCTTCCCATCCTCAGCAGAAGGCAAGGGGCTTCTCTTTTCTGTCATCTCCCGCATCTGGCCAGACTGATCCATGCGTTTCCCAGGAGCTAAGTCCTCTGGCTTGGGGTGCAGAATATGCTGATGGCCTTCAGCCCGGGTCCTAGTCCACCTCTGACACGGCGGTGGGGTCAGCCGCATCTAAGCCTCGGAGGAGAGGGGACTCCCCAGCGATGACTGGGGCTGCTGGTCTTGGGAGCAGGCATGGCCGCGGTGCGTGCAGGAAGTCTCTGTCCGTGGCAGCCTTTGAGACTTCCATTTTTCACTGAGAAAGTGGGATTCATTCCTTTCATACAAGTGACATAAGGACAAATTATAGGTCCTGTACAATAAAAAAAATATATCAATCTCTTGCATTTTATAGCCTAAGATTCAGAGATTTGTCACTCCGAGACCAAGATGTCATCTGTATTTGTTACTGAAAGCCTCAAACAAATCCTGCCTTCCTGCTACTTTACCATTTTATTAACACTGGAAAGAGGTGTCACTGTTTCTCTCTCTTGCAGCTGTGCCCACAAGCCCTTGTCCCCCAGGACATCCCAGGGTTCGGGGACGGGGAGCATCAGCCCCACACACAGCACAGCGTTTCGGGTCACCTCACCCTCTGTGCCCTGTGAAGGTGGTGTCTGATTTTTGGGGGGATTCAGGAGAGGTGTTGCCTTAACACTTATGTGTCCGAGGGAGCACATGCATGCATCTTTGCTGAACCAGAACTAGACCCATCAGACCCCGTATTACTTGGGGACTTGGTTCTGAAGACAGGTCATGTGACATAAAGCACGTATAGAGGAAATGACTGGAAGTCCCCTGCACTGCCCCATGTGAGTCGGTCCATCGGAGCCAGGTTTAAGGCAGCTGTGTGCAGACAGACATCTGGGCTGAGGTCCAGCCTGCTCTTAGCCCAGGTCAAGGCCCTGCTGGGGCTGGTCCGTAGGAGGCAGAACCTGTTCTTTGCATAAAGCCCAGTCTGCACACAAAGCATGTGCCCCAAGCAGATATTTCTATGCGTGACCTGTCCAGAAGGGGGGAGCCCCTTCTAATCCATTAGCCAGAGCAGGCCACATGTGGTAGCCTTTTCTAATTCATACAAAGGCAGAGCGTTGATCATTGATCACCTGGTCAGCTTTGCCCCCAGCGCTACAGTGGATGGCCACCCCCCAATAGGGGACCAGAGGAAGTAGAAGGCTGCATTCAGAGTCTGGTTTTCCAAGTATGTATCTTTGAACACTGGAAACACACCCACACAACCAGATGCCCACAAAGTAAGAGCCCTTTGGGACCTGAGACTGACAGAGGACACGAAAAGAGTCTCCTTTCTCCTCTCAGCCTCACAGGGTCATCAATGGCGAGGGTGGGCAGGACTGCTGGTCTGAGCCTTACTCTCCTGCACTTTATTTTGTGGACTCACGTGCGTTATAGTGGGATTCAGTGTGACTCTTCTGTCACTACTGGGCACCTGAGGAACAAATGTCACTTTGACTTGGGGAACAGAGTGTTTGGGGCTCTAGTACTCCAGGCAGTGTCTCCCCTTCTGTGTCTGTCCCCAGCTACCCAGCCCCACCCCAACCCAGGGGGCCGGGTACAACTGGAGCTAACTGGGAGTGATGAGGTCATTTCCTTGGGTCACCCCAAGCAACCTTGAGGGATTTTCCAAAAATGAGGTAGAGTATCTAGTTAGTCTGTGTTCTTACCAGGAAATGCTAAATTAGAAATCATTGGTGGAAAACAGGCAGAGAAGAGCAACTATGGCTTATCTTTGGTGCTGGATGTCCTCATTATCTGTAATTATTTATGATTAACCAAATGGAGTAGAAAGAAGAACTAGAATCTTCAGGGTCGAAGGGGCTCAAGAGGACAGTCCCCCCACCACTTTGTCTTGCTCCAGCTGTCTGGGAGGGAAGGCTTGACCGACGGATTGTTTGTCCTATAGCCCAGAGATTAACGGCCCTCTGTATCCCATCTCCAAATAGTCCAGATGCAGCGGAAGGTGATTTCTTTTGGTTCTCTATTTATTTGAAATCGGTAAATGCTTGTATAAAATCATTGTTTTATATGATGAGTTGCATGAAGGGTGCTCAAAAGCAATTTGAAACATAAATAGAAAAGTAACGTGACCTGGGAAAATCCATACAATCTGCCCATTAAGCTGATTTATTAGCCCTTTATCTTTCCAGCAGCATTCCTACTCAAAACATTCTCAGACTGTCTTAGATGTGTCTGAAGCTGAAGAGTTCTGAATAAAGACAGGGCTTCCTTAGGGTGAAAGACTGACCATGTTTCAGTCCTTAATGAAGTGTTACTGATTCTTTCCAGGAAAGCATGCTTTGTTGTCTTCAACGCCACCAAGCTTCTTCATGACACCCCCAGCCAACACTGTGGTAAGCACATGCATTGATCTCGGCCCTACTTCTTGTTGAAGGCTTTCTGCTTAGCCTGTGTGCCAGGACTGAATGCCATTAGACAGTCTGGCTCTTCTTATTGGCAGTATAGTGTCTGGGAAGAAATCATCCCTGGAGGAGAAGCGAACTTTGGCACTAATTCTAGATGCTCAGGCTGACTGAAGGGAGAGCCCTCTGCTTCTTGCGGTCTGTGGCCTCGGGGGTCAAAAGGAAGTAAACCAGACTGCCGAGGGACATGAACACTGAGACCGTCTCCTGGGCAGGTGACACAGTGAGCGGAGAGCAGGGGGGACCTGAGCCGATGCTCGTTCTCTCTTTGTGCCCCTTCTCCCGAGGTTTGAGAGAAGATCAATCCATACAGAAACATTCTCCTCTGGAATTAGTATTTGTAATCACACCACTTTATTTGGGAACTCTAAGGAACAGTGAGGGCACAGACTCTTGTACCATCGGTGTGGGTTCAAACCCCAGTTCCACATGTATTTCTGGGTAAGCCTCCCTGTGCTTGGTTTCATCTCTGAAATGGGTGCATTTTCCTTGAAGTTGTTGAGAGGATGAAAGGTCAGAATGTGTTAGGTGGTCGGAAAAGTGCCTCCTGGTATGCCGCAGGCGCGCCTGCCATCGTCACGGGGCTTTAGGAGGGCACACTGAATTTCTGTGGGACTTCCTGGCTTTCATCCCTGGCTGAACTCACGCCTGTCATTTCTTTTAGACGCCCACCAACGCCTACCATCCTATCATAATCAACTTGACAGAGACAAGAAAAAACTTCCAGAGTCCAGGAACTGTACTGAGTTATCTGCGAAACGTGTCCCTCAAATTACCCAACAAGCCTCTCTCACAGGAAATGGCGTTGAACCTCACCCAGGTAAAGCTATTTGATTTCTGTGCCTGGCTGGTCAGGGATGGCAAACTACCAGATCCTGGCCCACAGGTGTGCTTTGCTCAATCTGCACAGAGTTATAGAAAAGTCAAGAGCTTTTACATAAAAGTCTGGGTTCCAGGCTTCTCATGAACAACCAGGCAGGGTGGCCTCTCCAGCCGGCTCTACCCAGCTCGCTGGGGCCTCCTTCGGCTCTGCCTCAGCTCTTCAGGGCTCCCATCTCTGCATCCACCTGGCCACCGGCCACCTGGGTGTGCAACTCCAGTTCTAAGCCTCGCTGCCCCGCTTGGCAACAGGTGAAGGGTGGGACTGGGTCTTGCGCAGGTGCAGCCGTGGGACCCTAGACCTCACTCTGCACACACTGTGACCCGCAGCGCTGTGACCTGTAGGGCAGTGGGAATTGCCAAGGTCACCTACAGCACTTCGCGAACGTGCCACCTGTGGCATGGAATCAAGGTGCCGCCGCTTTCACTCTGCTCCAAATACTCTCCAGGTCAAGGGAGAGGCGGCTCCCGGGCGGGCAGAGGTGGGGAGACTGCGCGGGTTCCCCCGCAAAGAGCAGCTTCCGGGTCCGAGCAGGGGGCGGGGGGCTGGCTGCAGCGCTGAGTCTCCCTCCGCGGCCCCCCGCCCCGTGCGCTCGGTCGCTCCGCTCTGCGGCGATGGGGGGCAGCTCCGTGCGTTTGTACGCGCCGGGAACGGTGTCCGGCGCCAGCCGAGCGCGCGGGGAGGCCTCCTCACTCGGCCCGGCCTGCTGGCTGAAGGCAGCGCCGCGGGGCGCGGGCACCCCGGAGTGGAGGGGGGCCCTGTTCGCCTTCCCGCCCCCGCGGGGGGAGCGGGAGCCGGCGTCTCGGGCACCTCCGTCCACCCCCAGGGCGCGCCGGGCTCCGGGGCGCTGCCCCGCAGGGCCTCGGGGTGCGGAGCGCACGCGGACGGCCGAGCCCTGGACCTGGCCCCTGGGCCCGGCACCCGCCCCACAGGCCCGGCCTCCCCGCCGGCGCCCGAGGGCCTCCCCGCCCTGAGGACCCCTCCAGACGGGCCCCGGCCGGCCTCACCCCGGGCTCCAGTACCGGTCTTCCTGCATGGCACGGATCTGCGGCGGCAGCGCGGGTCTGTTCACGCTGCGCCGTGTCTCCCCGCGGCCGGGGCGGCCCCACACCCCAGGCCCCGCCGGCCAGCCCCAGAGGGAGAGGGCGCCCGCCTCCATCTTCACCCGGAAGGAAACTCTTTCCCAGCGTTCCCTGTGCGACCTCCCCTCACAGCTCATTGGCGGAAGCTGGGTCACATGACCACCACCAATCCTGGGCCCGGGGAGCAGACGGGGCACCAAGGCTTAGCCAATCACAAAGAGGCGTGGGCGGGGCCAAGGCTGCAAAGCTCCGCCCCCCACGGGTTCCCTGGGCTGGAGGCCGGGGTGTCCAGTCCGCGCGGGCTGGCCCGGAGGCTGGGGCGTGTCCGTAGCCTCGAGGGGATGCCTGTGTTGGAGCACAGGAGCCAGTGCAGGCCGAGGCGGGAGACTTTCTCGTTCAGCTCAGCGGTTTCCTCTTTCCCTGGGACTCCCCCCTGGGCCCCCCGGCAGTGTCCGGAGTTGCAAACTGCAATGCGCTCAGGGGCCGGGCAGCCGGAGGAGGAGTAGGGACCGTGGCCGTCTGCGGGGGTGGCGGCTAGCTGACCTGGGGCACTGCCCCCTCCGGTTTTGCAAGGGAGGCCCCACACCCGGGTCTCTAAAGTGGGAAATAATCCAATTTTTAAGTAGTGGACAGCTACCTAAAATTTTAAAAGCAGTTATGTGCAGATTTGTGAGGCGGATTCGGTCTGTGGGCCCTCGGTCTGGGACCTCTGGCGTGGGCCCCCGTGGAGAGACCTGACTCTGGGTGTCCTGCAGAGCAATCCTGCAGATTCGCCCAAAACCCTGCCCATCTCTGATTCAAAGAGAAATAGTATCCGGTTTTCCATGTCGTCCTGGCTTTCCACCGCTAGGAAATTGGCGAGAAGGAAATTGGCGAGAAGTCCTTTCCCGTGCTGGGTGATAAGGGGTCTGTTAGCCACGTCTGGCCGGGCAGGTCTTGAACTGTGGCGAATTCCAAGGGAGACGCGCTGTGAATGTGAAATGCCCCCTGGATTTCTAACACTTAGGACAAAGAAAAGAATGTAAAATACTGAATTGATAACTTTTATATTAGCATGTGGAGTGCTGTTTTAGATACTTGGAACTAAGTAAAACATAATTAGTTTGAAACATAATTAGTAGAAGCAAAATTCGTTTCGCCTGTTTTCTTTGTACTTTTTTAAAATACGGCTACTAGAGGGGCGCCTGGGTGGCTCAGTTGGCTAAGCCCTGACTCTTGGTTTTGGCTCAGGTCATGATCTCCATATCCTGAGACCAGGATTCTCTCTCTGCCGCCGCCCACCCTGCCTGGGCACATGTGCACTTTCTGATAGACAGACAGACAGGCACTAGAAAATCTAAAAGTGGCAATGTGGCTGGCATTATATTTTTATTCCACGGAACTCTTTTGGAGTAGGAGTCAGCAATTTATAGCATAGCCCTTAGGCCAAATCCGGTATGTTGCCTGTTTTTGTAATAAAGTTTTATTGGAACATGCTCACTTAGTTATGTTGTCTGTGGCTGCATTTGCTCTATAATGGCAGAGCTGAGTGCTTGTGATGGAATTGTATGGCCTTAAAACCTCAATACTTTACTAGGTGATTTTTTTTTTTTAAGTGCTGACTCCCTGCTCTAGATTATAAATTCTGCCCGCTAGACCTTCAGCCCAATATTTTGTTCATCCTTAGTTCATAAGGTCTTGCCCTTCAGAGTCTTAATAAATATTTATCAAATAAAGGTAATGAAAGAGTAAGGAGTTTTGATGATGTGTTCTCTCAGTATTTAGTGTCTAAAAGTGTGAGGAAGAATGGTTTTTCTGGAGATGGTAGTTTGGTGGAAATATGGGAGATTTAGATCAGGCTCTCAGTTTAATTCTGTGTCTACAGTAGAAGACAAACAGTTAAAAGCTGACATGAGTGATATAAATGGGGGACTGGACTGGGTGTCAGGAAGTAGGAAGTGGTGACCTGGGGTACATGGAGGAACACGTATCTGACTAAAGGGGCAGCTGCCGTTCCACGTTGGCCAATGGTGGCCATGTGGGACTGTGGGCTAGGGGTGGCCTGAGCTTCTGCTCTTCTCAAAGGAAGAAGGAAATTCACATATTTTCATTTAAATCTCCCCATTTGAACATGTTAAAAGCTAATTTATTTTTTTTAGAACAATGGTGAGCCAAACCAAACATGATTTTAAGGTGATCTGACCAAGGGTCTCCAAGTAACTTCTTTATGGAGAGGTAATTGCTAATGAACACAAGTGGTTTTAAGTCAGCTTGGCTTCTCTACCCAGGGAAAGCGTATTCAGCAGGCCATGATTTATTCACCTGTTCATTCGTTCGCTTATTCATTCGACAGGCATTTCCTGAGGGCTGCTTATATCTCCGAGGTACTGTACTTAACGTGACTAAGGTGTGTTCATTCTGACATCTGAATGATCATCACTGATAGACGGGTTGTCACAGGGAGCAAAGAAGATAATACCTCTGATGGGCTTTGTCATTTATAACCTGATACGCTAATGTGAGCTATTTTTGTTTATTACTGTATGTAAAAACCCAGCCAGTGGTTGATAAGACATGGAAAAATCTAAGGTCTTGAGATTTTGAGGATTAAGGATACATGCTAAGCAGTGTCATTTTATCTGCCTTTAGGTCTTCTTAAAAACCATGGGAGAGGTTCTTCAATTGCCCACTTGGGTTGATGTGTCAGAGGTAAGAAAAAAAAGAATATTTTTGATTTTCAAAATGTATTTACTTTGGGGACCAGTGTGTCTTCCTGGAAGTGGTGTAAATATGGCCCAAGTCACATCCCTAGGAGAGATGATGCATCTTCCAGTCTTGCTATCTGGGACATTTGAGCTCATTTTGACCAGATATACAGATTAGAAGTGCCTTGTCTTCCGTATGGCTCAGGAACTGTGTGGGTGTCGGTAATGTGTTATTCTCCTCAACACCAAGCAGGGCAATGGTTCCATTTCTTCATGAGGAGTGTGTACTTGGTTGACCTCTATTTATCGTTTTAATAAAATATTTTTCACCGTCATATTGTTCTTGAGTCATAATAAAAAAAAGTGTTTTATGTTTGGAGATCACTAGATTAAGTGAAAAAAGTGAAACATGTGACAATATGTATTTCATGGTTATAAACGTAAAAACCAAAAAGCCTCTCTTTTCCCCTGAACTCCAAATAATTAGAAACGATAATGGAATATATATTTATATTTAAAAGTAACTTCGTTGACTTTACTGCTTAACAAATAAAACAAGTTAATGTGTTGTGGAGAAGGTAGAAACTGCAGATAATAAAAACCGTATAAAAGAGCAGTCACCTGAAGTCCTAAGGCAGACCGTGATTGTGAGCACTCTCGTACATGTCCCTTCCTGTCTTGCTTTTGTTTCACTTGCATGCACATATATTGTACAAATACACTGATGTCTGATTTAATCTGGTTGTCTTTAGCTACACGCAGGACCACTGCCAGCGACACTGGGCATATCAAGCCGCCTAGGCTAGGCTGTGCTCTGGTAACAAATGGACCCCTGCATTTCAGTGGCATAGCACAGTTGGAACTTACTCCTCACTCATGCAAAGTCCAAAGTGGGTCCGAGGAGCCTTTCCTCTGTCCAGTGACTTTGGGGTCCTGGCTCTCTGTCTATTTTCTGTTGATGCGGTCTCAACACACAACGTCCAAGGTTGCCTGGCAGGGTGGAGGACTCTTAACTGCCTCCCTCAGCAGAGCCGCAACCACACTGGTGTAATATTCAAGTGCTCATTCTCCTGAACCCCTATGATGTTTAAAAAATATTTGGCAGTTTGAGGCAGAAATGCTATTAATGAGATTGCAGTGGGATTTATATTTGAACTTTTTATTTGAACAGTTTCAAATGGAATGAGATGGAGTGAACACTGGCAAAGGGAGGAAAAAAGGGGACCTGAACTTAAGACTGATATAGTCTTACATAGAAACAAATTCTTTTTGAAAAGGCACAACCCTCCAGCGTCCTTGACTTCCAGGGGGAGTCTGTGTACAGGGCCGCAGCACAGGAAACCCCCCCCCCAGAAAATGGCCAGTGGCGGGCCTGAGCAGACCCATTTCATCAGCATCATTTTAAAGTAACTTTTTCTGAATGCTTGGCCACAAAATATGAATAATCATGAAGCTATTCAGACTTAGGCAGGCTCTAATGTGCATTCAAGAGAAGGTATGAATCAGCTACTGCCCAACAATTGCACGCCAGAGACACAGATTTCCATGTGTTTAACTATGCTCGGCTGATTGAAATCAGGCCACAGGCCTCAAAGAAAATGTCTAAAATTGGCCTCAGTGTTCTTTTTCCAGCTCATTAGATTCTCGTGGCGCATGCATCTATGAGAGAATGCTAAGGATGCTTAGCAAACGGATGCTTTTCAGAAAGGCGGGAAGGATGGAAAGGGGCATGATGGCCGGAGGCACAGCCACCGCACACCCGAGGGGCTGAGAGGCCCTGTCCCCAGTGTAGCCGTGTGTCTGATGGTGAGGGCCAGTCGGCCCCATCTGAGCTGTCTGCAGAGATACAGGGTGACCGGGAGGGGCCCCTGCTTTCGTGGGGGCAGCGTCCACTGGGATCCTCTCTGTGCTGGGGACTCAGAATGAGTGAAGAGGGCCCTTGGAGGGAAGGGATGCACCAGGCAGGTCGGAGGCCAGAGAGGATTTGGGGTGCTGACGCCTCCAAAGCCTCCTTCCCCTGCATGGAGACTAGGATGAAGCTCCTGGAGGGGGCTTGGGGGCACTTAGCCCCCTCCTTCTGAAACAGAAGAGGGCAGGGCAGGGGGCCGGCCAGAGATTTGTGGAGGTGAGTTCAGAGTGCAGCTGGGTCCAGGTCTCTGTCACCTGTGTCTAAGCATAGAAGCCTTGCAGCCAACGGCCTGGGTGACCGGGATGTTTGCGTGCTGTGAGCTCAGCCGGGTGAGTGACCTCAGTGATCACTTCCTCGCCTGTAAGAGGGCTAGTGCTGGGGGCTCTCCCCTGTTCCTTCTCATCTGCTCATCGAGAGCACAAGCCCGGCCCGCCACGGCCTTCAGAGATGCAGGGTGCTGCTCCCGTGGAGGGGTGCTGTGGGGCCAGCGCACAGCCTGGCGGCGTATTCCGCGGGGGGGCCTCAGGACGTTGGCTGTGCAGGTTCTGTTGTCTCAGTGCCTTCACGTTGTGTTGTGTTCAGGACAATGCCATGGTGCTGGGCTTGATTGAGACCGTCGACACTGTCATGGGCCACATCTCTTCCAACCTGGACGCCAGCGAGCCCCAGGTCACCATCGTAGGCTCTTCCTCCATGGCAGGTAGCGGTCAGCTCGGTGTGGGATGTGGCCATGGGTGCAGGCGGGGCGGCGGGAGACTCGGGAGGGCAGCCGGCCCGTGGGGTTCGCTCTGACGGCCCCGCGCTCACCTGCGCAAGCAGGTGCGTACACACCTGCACAGGTGCGTTTGCACACACAGCGGGCAAAGGTGCACACACACACGCAGCAGCAAACACACCATTGGCTCAGACAGGCCTCTCTGCTTTTCTAAACTATGTTGCCCTTAACGAAAATCACACTTTGGAGGGGGAGTGAGAGCAGGACACGTGTGCTCAGCCATGACGTGGACGCAAAGCTACGGGAGCATTTGGTGGCGACTCGGGGCCGGGCTGATCTTGTGTAGCAGCCCCCTCTGTTCAGAACAGGAGTCGGTATCAGCAGCTCCTCTGAGTGTCTGTGGAATAAAAGCTGCAGAAGCAGGTCTCCGAGAGCCAGCTGGAGGCTTGGCCTGAATCTGCTTTTCCAAGATAATCGGCGCAGAGTCCCACACGCGCTGACTTCATGGCCCCTCCATTTGAAAAGTCTTTATCTAGGGAGCGTTGCACTGCTGATACGCTCCTGCAAGAGCCGAACTCTGGGACAGGGGCTGAACTGACCCACGTCGGTTAGTTTTAGGGGGAATTTGTCGGCTGAGATAGTGCCTGATGGCTGGAAGGCCAGCATCTCTGGCACCTTCTTTCTCCTGTGTGTCATGGGTCCCCCAGAGTGTGGTGAGGAGCAGCCCTGAGAACTGACAGGCTGCCCTGAGGGAAGGAGGGGTCACCTCGGGCCACGAGACCCACAGTGGCGGGATGGCCGTGTCAGCCATACAGTGGAAATGACGTCCTTGACCCTTATTTTTGTAGGTCGTCATTGTCTAGAGGTAATTACACTGCCCAGGGGAGCTCATTCTGTTAACAAAAGCAGAAGCAGATGGGGTTTGACAGCCCAGTTTCCTTCGCTATGCAGCTTACTGACTGTGGCTTCCTGTCTTTGGCTTGTTCTCAGAGTTTTCTGTGGCCAAACTCCTACCCGAGACCATAAATTCCTCTCACTACCGCTTCCCGGCCCAGGGGCAGAGCTACATCGAGGTTCCCCACGAGGCGTTCCGCAGCCAAGGTGAGTGCAGCCGCTGAGCCTGCCCCAGGACCTCGGGGGCTCGGCCCTTACAGACGTGCGGCTGGCCGTTACCCGGAGGACGCACGGCCCTCGGGCCTGCTCGCTGTTCCCGCAGGAGCGGATCTGGGCCAGCACTTCTTAGCGGGTCCTGGCGGGCGCCTGAGATGCTCACTCAGAATGCTGATTCCAAGTGCGCCCCAGCCTCGTGAACTGGAACTGGGGAGGAGGCTGGGAATCTGTATTTTGGACAGGCTCTCGAGGTGATGCTGGTCCGCTGTGAAAGACAGCTGTGTCCTCCCAGATCGGGACAGTGACACGTCAGCAGAATATGAAGAGACGAGGCCATCCCCCTTCCCCCATCCAGGGTGGCCTCCGGCTAGGTGAGGGTTTGTCTGCCCAGGGGTCTACTTCCAACTCCGGGCGCTCAGGCAGCTCTGGCCATTTTTGCTACAGTGACAGTCCCTCTGGCCCCTTGAAAAGTGAGTGAGTGCCTCCACTGCTTGTCCCTCGGGAAGTCAGGGATGGGCCTGTGGCCTTGGATTTGCAGCTCCTGACAGTCCGGCCAGAGGACATGTGATTCTGAGACTGGGGACCAAGAGCAGCCTGGGTGGTGTAGGATCATGGTGTCCCCTCCCCAGCATGGAGTTGTCACTCGCCAGCCCTCAGGGGCCCACCTCTGCTCCCTCTACCTTCTTGTTTGCCTGCGTGAAAGGTGCCTGGAGATGTCATAGGACGCCCCCCCCCCCACATGGGGTGAACTACAGAAACGGGGGGGCGTCTGGGGATGATGCTATGATCTGCCAACTATGTACGTGATCTTTGCTCATCTCATACCACCCGGCTGCAGGATCTAGAAACCCTCCATTCTTCACACTCAGCAGGGCTGTGGCGTCATGCTCTGCCCTGTGGCAGCAGGACTTGCTGGTCGCGAGGACTGACTGGTGGCTGGACTTCCCAGGCTGCAGCCCTGGTTCAGCCACTTGCTGGCTGTGTTACTGAACCTGCCTGCATTACAGGCTCCTCATCTGTAAAACGGGGACAATATTCGTACTAGACTCATTGTTTTGAGAAGAACGAGCAAAGAAAGCCCTTCTACCTGGCACACCGTGAGAGTGATATGATGCTAAATGTATTCCTGAAATCTTAACACATTCAACGAATATCCCCGAGGAACTCTGGAAGATAGCTAACCACTTCCTCCTCCAAGCGTCCTCTGCTAAACTAAAAATGATTCCTGTTTCAAGCCGTCATATAGCAGAGAGGTGGGACTAGCCACAAGGCATGGAGGACACCTGAGTGATCGCCGCCACTTGTAAATCCTGCATCTGCTGCCTCGCTCATGTCTTCGCGTGGCTGCAAATACTCCCTATGCCAACAGCAAACAGGACATGCTCACCCAGAGGACGCAAAGCTGGAGGCTGGCGTGGTGCCCGCTGCTGGAGCAGGGCCCTCTGCCCTCAGAAACTCTGGCGTTCCTGGCGAGTCAGGCTCTCCCCGGGAGCCGTGGCATCTGTGCGTCTCCAGTCGGCTCGGAGGAGGAGCACGCAGTCACTGCCACAGTTCAAGCCAGAGCTGAAGGGTCACAAAGTTTCTACTCAGGCTCCTGGAAAATTCCACCCCTGCGAGTCCCGCCCCCACCCCCAGGAGCGGCCCCTGGGTTCTGAGCGTGAGGGTGGGCGCTGCGCACTGCTGGGCAGGCGGGTGTGTCTGGGGGCCCTACCGCTGGAAGGCTGACGGGTGTCTGTGACCCTCTTCTCTTCCGCAGCCTGGACCACCATCGTGGGCCTTCTCTACCACAGGATGCACGATTACTTGGACCACATCCAGGCGGCCGAGACCAAGTGAGTGTGTCAGGTGACACTGGGAGAGGGCAGCGGGCACCCTGGCAGGGAGAGGGCAGCGGGCGTGTGTGCATCCGCCCGCCGGGCGGCTGACCGCGGAGACACCCCCACCTGCACGCCCTCACAGGTCTACAGGGGGCTTTGCTGTTAGAGCCAGGGCACGCCACGGCCCTCGGAAGGGGACGCGGGACCTCGGAGCTGGGGCTCAGCGGGCCCTGGGTGCGCAGGCTGACAGGGCAGGGGGCAGGTGACCACAGCCGCCCGGAACTCCCCGTGCGTGGACGAGTGCCTTCACTGCCGGAGCCTCGCCGCCGCTTGTGTAGAGCGGGAGACAACAGCACACCCTGCATCGGTCAGGGCTGGTTGGATACGCAGCCGCTGGTGGATGGCGGGGAGGCCGGGGGCTCGTGGGATGGGGAAGGCCTCAGTCACGGCAGGACCCAGGGCACGGGGAGCCCTCCCGACCTGGTCACTCCGTCTCCTGCCTGTGCTTTCCTCTGTGCTGGCTCCTTTCCAGGCGGGCCCCTCCATAGAGGCACGGCTGGCTCCGGTGGCTCAGGACGCCCCCGCTTTGGGTCCTGAGGTCTCGGAAGGACAGCAGCCTCTTTCGTGAACGTGTGCGTGGAAACTCAGGCGGGGCTGTGACTGGCCCATTTGGGTCATGTACCCATCTGGCTCCCTCCAGTCACGGTGGCTGGAGCATCCTGCTCTGTCACTGGCCAGGTCTGCTCACATGGGCTCTGTGGAAACAGGGCTGGGACTGGCGTGCTTGGCTCATGTGCCCATCCTGGCCTCCCGCATCCCGGTGGCCGGAGCCTGCTGTTCTCTTGCCGCCGGGGTGTGCTCACGTGGCCCCTGTGGCCTGGCGGTGGGTCAGCCCACCCAGAGCGCGGGGAGAGGCTGGTTCCTCCCTCAGAGGGGAGGGTCGGGAGGCTCCGCTCCCCCCGCCATGGGGTCCCCCTGGCCTCCCCGGCAAGTGTCTCTCGTGCCCCTGCAGGGCGGGCTGTGGGGGCTGGTGCTGCCGCCTGGATGTCCGCAGCCTCGGGGACACCACAGCCCCACTTCTGTGTAGGCCTGGGTCCGATCGCCCTGGGAAAGCCTGCGCGTTGACGCGTTTCCTCGTAACTGAGGGAGGGGGACCGGTCCCTCCTGGCGTGTGATTTCCAGAATTCTTCAGGAGAATTGTCGAAGGGAAATGCCATCACCGTTCCTCAAAAGATGCCTTCTCAACTCCTTGGGGGCTACTTCTCCAAATCCAAGATACGAATGAAGAACAGACCCGTCCTTGGCCCCCCTCCCGTATCTGCAGCTCTCACGCTGAATGGTCAGGCGGAAGCTCATTTGTCAGTGAAGTCCGTGAAGCGCGTGTTTGTGAGGCACGGCCGAGCTTGTCTGGGGGCCAAGGGTGAGAGCGTGTGGGGCGAGCGGTGTCTGTGCTGCCGTCCGCATCGTCCTTCCGCCTCAGACTAGGAAAGGAAGGAGAAGGGGGAGCTGCTCTTCACCGACATCGCGTGTACACGCATTTCAGGGGACAATTCCCTGGGGCCGAGTAGAATCATGACTAGCCAGCGGCCGACAGACTTCTCCATAAAGGGACCGAGAGTAAATATTTTTGTCTTTCCAAGCCATAACGGCTCGGTCACAGCTGCTCAGTCGGCCGTGGAGGCGTGAAAGCAACCTCCGACAATACGTGAGGGAGTGGGCGTGGCTGTGTGCCAAAGAAACTTTATAGGCCCAGGCAGCCCCCCAGGCCCGTGTTTGCACACCCCCGTCGGCCGCGCCGTTATGTCCGTGGATGGGGGAGAGGCTGACTGTGTCCTGCTCTGGGGGGCCCAAGGATGTGCTTGAAGCTCGGCAGCTGGGACGCTCCTCCATCGCAGGGCCTTCCCCCCACCTCCCTGCTGTCCCCACTGCCCGAGGCACCCCCACAGAGAGGACTCTCGGGAGCCCCAGGACCCCTGCTGCGACATCCAGATCACCGTGGTCAGCTCCTCTTGTCCCAAGTCGTGGGCCCTGAGACTCGCCCGGCAGAGGGTGCCGCTCACGGCCCTCTCCCTGTTAGCATTAACACCTGTGGACCGTTGCACCCTGTCAGCAGCAAACGCATGCTCCCTTGGTTTCCCCAAGTCAAAACAGGACAATTTGCCGCGATGAGAACATATTTTTCATAGGTGGAATCTTCAGTTTCAGTGAAGTTCTAAGGGCAGCACTTAATGCAGAAGTGTCTTATTGTCAAAATTAGCCTTGGAAAAAAAATCATCCCAGTAGTTCACCAAGCATGTCCCCGTACTTGTACGCTCTCCTGTGGCATCAGGGTGGGACAGAAGTTGGCCAGCAGTGTGGTAGTCAGCAGCGCAGAGCTGGGCGCTGGGTACCCGGCTCCCTTCGCCCAGCGGGGCCCTTGGCGGCGATGTGAACCTGGGCGACGCCTGGCCGTCTTTGGCGGTGTGCTCCCGTCTAGAATGGTGATGACGACCCACCAGCGTGTGAGGCTGCCGTGAGCGCGGCGCGAGTTAGCTGTTTAAACAAAGCTTGGTGCCCTTAACGTGACGCGTAAGCACTTGCTTTTAGCACCTCATAAGATGGTTGGACGTTCTCGCCATATTGACTGGAAGACAGTTCTCAAACTCCACACACAGTTAGGAGGGGATGAGTAGATCGGCAGACAGCACGCTGGCGTTCTGCTCGCCTACACAGCGAGTCCCTTCCCTTTTAGTATCACGCACTGTGATCTCCGTATGTGTATGGTTTTTGTAAGAATGAAAGGTGCTGTGGAGTTGTAATGTCCTCCCGATCCCCTTTCGGGGTGAGGTGGAGTCAGCACCAGTTTAGTGCATGAAGATGGGGGTGAGGCTGGGACGGGGTCTCCATCTTCACAGCCAAGCCCTGGGTGGGCCGTTCCAAGGACCCAAGCAACCACTCCTGGGGCCAGCGTCTGAGTGTCCACGGGTCCTGGGGGGCACTTAGCCGGTCCCTGCTCTACCCCCTGCGCACGGAGGGTCGCACCTGCCCCATCAGTTGAGGGCTGCTCAGCTCTTGCCAGTGGCTTTGCTGTGCCAGGCAAGCACCTGGGACTGCCTTTCCCTTCGCGTGGGGCCGGGAATCCGAGCCGGGCAGGGAGTCTAGAATCACCTGCTCCCACTGCCCCTCCGCAGGTGGAGACCCGGACCCGGAGAGGGGATCGCTGCCAGCTGACAGAAGCAGGGCGGTGACTCGGTCCCTGGGTTTCCGTGTCTTGTTGACAGACTCACACGTGCTTCCGACAGATAGGTTCCCGGAAGGTTTGGCTTGGCTTACGTGTCCGCCCTTGTGCTTTGTAGAGTAATGCCAACCAAACAATGCGGAAGGAACGACAGCATCAGGGAGACACCATCTTGGAACCCTAAGTGTAGTTACTGATCAGGGCAAAAGTCATGAGTGGGTGTAGACACCACTGGGTGAGGGGTATTCGGGGAACCCTAACACTTTTTTTTTTTTTGAGAGTCTGTTATATTTTAGGAACCATTCTAGGTGCTGGTGGTACAAGCAGAAAACAAGACAGACAAGATCCCTGTTTTGTGGAACTTACATTCTAAGGGAGTCAGGATTAACATCCTACCAGATAAAGTTCTAATGCCTTAATCTTGGCACTCAGGGACCTCAGGAGTCACTGTTCAACCTGAGCTCCAGTGCATAGACCCCCTCTGGGCTCTTGGACACACTTGGTGTCTTTTCTCCACCTCCACCGCTGGACACCACTTTTCACTCACTCTCCACCCATGTATGCCTCAGGGCAGTGGTGAAAGGTCTTCTCCAAAGATATATAGCCACTAAGCACTGAAGTTTGTATTCAGTCCATATATGATGGCTCTAAAGCCTGGTGTTCTTGTATGTATATTCCAGGTTCTGGGCATACAGTAGGGGCTCCAAAGCTACTTTACTCTTACTTTACAAAGTGAGCAGGGCACCTGAGAGTGCAGAGTGGGCAGGTGCCACTTCAGCCAGCCGGTCACGCTCAACATCATCAGCCGTGGGGCGTGCTATCCTGTGTCCCCTGACGTGACACAGTGGCCTGTGGAGTAGGCCTGCCCCACATGCCTGGCCTGGAGCTCCTCCTGAGCACACAGCACATCTACAGTGAGGGCCGCTTGGCAAACCGTGGCTGCCTCTGCTGAATGGAGTCGACAGCAGAGCACGTGGTCTGGAGGTGGGGAAGGGGGGTCATCACCTGGGGGAAACCGAGGGCCTTTCTCAGGGGAGTGAGCGCACACCAGGCAGGGGAACCACGGATGCTCACCGCACTACCATCTGTCACACCGTCTTATAAGCAGGTAGCTTGAAGTTCAGACGGGGTAAGTCACTTACCCAAGGTCACACAGCAGAGTGAGCAGATTCCTGAGATTCGCACCCAGTGCTTTGACCCTTCTGTTCTCCAGCTCCCCGGGCCATGTCTTCTTCCACTGTTATCAGCTCTGTGAGCTCAGGCCCCCATGCCGCCCACGGTGCCGGCATCCAGCCTGGCAGGACAGGTACTGAATGATGGAATGCAGGCTTCGGAATGGCAGCGGCGGTAGGTCTCCTTGTGGGTACCGAACGAGACCAATCGAACTTCCACCCAAGGAAGATTCCAGTCTCAAAAATTTCGGCCTTAACATTAAGTTCTAAACCCAGGTTCTGGCTGCGTGCCCTTTCCCTATTCCCCTTCCGTACTGATTTTTTCTCATTTATTTCCAAGGATTGCTGAGGCAGCAAATTACAAAAGGCACACGCTGTTCGCGGCCAGCTACCTCATTTCTCTGGAGGTGTCCCCGCCGCCCGCGCTCTCCCAGAACCTGTCAGGATCTCCGCTTGTCACGGTGCGGCTCAGGCACAGACTGGTGAGTGAACGCGGACTCGCCCTCGCTTCCGTTCTTCTCCTGGTGTCGTGGACACTGGGGAGTCTGTGGGGCTGGAGAAGGGATCTCAGGTGGCATATGCGTGGACACGGTTTTCACACGGCGGTGGGACAGGGTTGGTCGCGTGGTGCTGACGTTGGGGGAAAAGGCTTTCACAGATGTGTGTGCGTGGACGTTTCTGCGGAGGGGTTGCGGTGGGCAGCTCTCTCTCATCCTGACTGTAGCCATTAGCAACATGCAGTGCTCGGTTCTCCACGGGAAACACGCTCTGGGGCTGAGGGTGGGCCATTTCTCCGCTGTTTGGAGCGGTGAGTTCTTGGTCCTGCTGGGTTGGAACTGGACTTCTGTCCACGTTCGCTTCGTCATTGGGCACAGGTGAGAATGACAAGTGTCCAGGGACATGGATGTGCTCTGTCCTTTGGACAACACACAGCTTGCTTGTGCCAGGATACGTCCCCGGATACGCTGTTGATTCAACACCCGAACGTCGTGCTTTTCGAGGCCTTTGTTTAAGAACTCACAGTGTTCTTGGTTGTTTGGGGTCATGCTGAGGACTTGGTTCCGTTCCACCCCGTCCTGTCCACCAGCCGTAACTGAAGACCTACTGTGTGCGGCCACTGTGTTCTGGCGGGAGTGTATTTTCATTCCCTCTGTCTGCACGGGCCTTTCCCACCCACCTGCACGCACGGTCCTGGCCTCAGAAGGCCCTGGCACCCAGCCTCTCCCTCTTTTAAAAAACAAATCACAAAACACGAAAACAGTTTTAAATTGTGGTAAATATACGTAAGGTAAGGTTTGCCATCTTAACCACGTGTAAGTGCACGGTCCCGTGTCACGAAGCACATTCACACCGCCGTCCGACCCCAGATTCGGCTGCCTTCCCAAACCGACGCTCTGCCCACAGCCCCCGGCGCCCAATATCTGCTCTCTGTCACCTCGAGTCTGGCTGCTCTGGGAACCTCGCATAAGGGGGACCCTCCGGTGTTTGTCCTTGTGGTTCTGGCTTATTTCCCTCGGCACCGTGTCCTCGGGGTCCACCCAGGTGGCAGCAGGCGTCAGGATTTCCTCCTTGGAAGGCTGAACAACGTCCTGTTTTCATGCACATAAGATACGCCGTTTCTGTGCCCACCCGCCCATCTGTGGACATTGGGTTGCTCCCCCTACTGTCCGTAAGGCTGTGAACGCGGGTATGTGCTCTCTCTCCAGGCCCTGCTTTCGGTCCTTCTGGGTGTGTGTGCCCAGTGGTGGCACTGCCGGGGCACAGTCCTACAGCCACACTGGGGCCCCGCTCTCTTTGTACGTAAGCCACGCTTCTAACTGCAAAACCGTTCTCAGAGTGTCCAGAGATCTCTGGCCCACCCAGTGTCCTCTGTCTTCGATGTGTAGACACACTGGGCCCCATTGACACCCGGGCCCCCTCAGCCCCCCACGTCCACCTCGCTGGCTCCCAGGACGCGTTCCTCTTGGGGGGCCACCCCCGTACCTGGTGGCCCGTCCCCGCGACATCACCTCCTATAACTCCCTGAGTGGGGGTCCCTATAATGTGACCGCCTAAGTGTTTACTTCTCTGAATTCACAGAAATGCTGAGATGTCAGTGTCACCAAATACTGATGTCACTGAGGACCCAGACCCACAGCGGCCCCGTGGCTTTGACATGAAGCCCCTGTTCGGACGGGTTTCCCAACTCCAGGGGCCCCACGGGGTGTGTTTCCCCCAGGCCTGTCCATTCTCTGCTCTCCTGGTTTCTGCCCCAGGGCCGTCCTTCCCTCTGGGTCTGAACCTTGGTGCCATCCTGGGTTCTTGTCTGTGGGCGCCACACAGAACCCACTGTGACCTTGTTGTCGGAGGGTCCCCTCCCTGGCTCAGAGCCCTCATTCTGACTTAGTTCTGCTGGGCCAGGAGCTTCCTGGCCACTCCCCCCGCTTCATCCCCTCCACGTGCCCAGACTGACCTTCCAGAAGCTCAGACCAGATGGCCCCATTCACCCATGTGGAATCTTCGAGCTTCCCCGAAGAAGAATCTAAGCTCTGGGCCTCAGGTGCAGATCTCTGGCCGAGCTTTCCCGTCTGAGTTTCCACGTGAACCTCTCCCTCCAGCAAAGTCAGAGCGCTGCCTCTCCATGTCAGGGCGCGCCCTCCTCCCGTCCCCCGACCCCTGTGAGAGCCCCTCTGCACCCCGTCAGCGCCACGACGGAGGACTGTGCAGCCCCACCATGTAGCCGGCCCGTAGGGTTCTTCAGCAGCTGCCCCGGCCCGTTTGGAACCACTGGGCCCTTCCTCACGGTGCCTGGCGTTGGGCCTTGCGGTGCAGGGCAGCGGCTAGGCACATGCTGGGTGGTGAAACCGCTGAAAGTCAGCAGCCCCGAGTGAGGAGCTGTGTCCTTGCGCTGTGCTGTCGTCTGCGTGCGGTCGCGTGGTTCTTTCCATGGAGAGAGGCTTGCCCCTGGGGCGGAGGGATGAGTTCAGAGGCCGTGGAGGTCTGGTCCGGCACGAGGTAGAGACGTTTTTAGTGCTTCTGTGTTGAGGGTATTACCCTGCGGCACAGAGAGAGCACGAGCCTGCAATCAAGCGTAATAAATGCAGAGGAGGCTTGTTTTGAAAGACTCTGGAACCTTCGTGTGTTTGAGGTGGAGGCCAGGCAGGACGGGGAGGGCTCGGAGGCTCGGGTTCAGGGCCTGCCGTCCTGGTGTGTGGCGCCCGGAAGGCCCCTCCAGAGCTGGTTCGGGATAAGAGCAGGGGGTAATGTCGGTGTCCGTGAAAGGTCTAGAGCACAAAACCACTATGGGTAAACACGAGGGCGTATTAGTCCTCTGAGAAGCTCGTTCACTCACACGTCTAGTCGTTGATTTCCTCCACAGATATGGGCTCTGTGACGTCGACCGAGCGACCAGCCTCTCTGTGCCTCCAGTTTGTGAGGTGTGATAACAAACATGGGGCTGATAACACGCCCCCAAGGGCCAGTGAGCTCTTCTTGTTCTGCCCCTGGACTTCCGTGCAGACACAGAAGCCAGCCTTGGCTAACGTTAGCAAAGGGAGTTTTCTGGAAGGACAGCTTGTAGCTCACGGGGTGGGGGGGGCTCAGCCCAGAGGCCCTGCACTGGTTTTGTCACTTTGGCCCCATGGGGCGAGCAGGTGTGGCCCCGTGCTCTGTGTCCGTGTTCCTGGGAGGAGGGGCTGTGGCAGGAGGTAGTCGGGAAGCAGGTGTCGTCCCCCCAAGGGCATGCACGTGGTGCAGTGTGAGTCGGCGGGGGGCGGGGGAGCAGGCGGGAGGACCCCACGCAGCGCTAACGCCCGCGTGCACTTGACCACGGGCCCCTCCAGGTGGGGAGATGCGGCTGTGCACGCTGGGGAGCGCACGGACGGAAGCGTGACAGATTCTAGGGCCGAGTGAGCGAAACTTCCAGGGTGTCTTAAAAACAAGGACGAGCGTTTATTCGAGCCCAGGTGAGGACCACTGCCCAGGATGGGGACCTTCACAGACGAGAGAGAGCGTGGAAGGACTGTGTAACACGGGGCCCTGTGTGCTTCCGTGGCGTCGGGAGTGACAAATCACAGTGACCGAGGACGTTCCAGAAAATGACACGCTCGACCTTGTGCTTTTAGCACCTGCAAGTTTGCAGGCTTCAGACGGATGGGCGCTGGGGAGGTTTTTACTCTTATCTTCAGTTTGACGTGTTTCTCGCGGGCTGTTTGCTCACAACGCAGACGGACAGCGTGAGCTCAGGGCAGAAATGGAGCCCTGCTCTGAAGGGTTGGGGAGTGCCTCCGACCGCGGCCGTGGCGTAGCCTCCCTGGGGGCCTGGGAAACGTGGAAGGTTTGCTTTATCAGCAGCAGCCGGACTCTCCTCCGAGTGTCAGAGACGCCCCGGGCTTGTGGACAGAGGCTGTTTCCCTGAGTGCGGGGCCCGGGTGCCTTTGGGAGCTAGGACCTCCAGGGCCCACATCCGTGAGCGTGAGAATGTGGTGCTGGGGCCCTGGGCCTCGGTCCTGTGGTTCACGGTGTGGGATTCGACTTCCTTGGGGGTATTGCCACAACCTGTGATTTTGTGAAGAAAAGCCATAAATCTGGCGTTTAAATTGTATCTCTGCATTTGTATTGTTGGCAGCTAATTCACATTCGCCTTTAACCTTGTCAACTGAAATATACCTGTGGGTTCAGCCAGTGGGTTGCCACTTCATAGGCTCTAATTTTTCTTAGGTTTTTATTTGAAATGGTTTTAACTTACAGAAAAATTGCAGGACAGTAGAGTTTCTGGGTACCATTCACCCACCTTCCCATAACACTATTGTTTTAAAGTAATTACTGAAGCCTGGAAACGGACGGTGATGTTCCCGCACCGTGGACAGGCTTCGGATGTTCTCAGTTTACCCCCTTAAGCCTCTTTTCTGTTGAGGATCTGGCTCTCGAGAGCTCCTCCAGCCTGTGGTGGATCTTCAGCTTCTCTGTCTTCATGACCTGGTCACTTTGCAGAACATCCCTCAGTTTGGGACGGTCTGACATCTTCTCGGGACTAGGTTGAGGTTATGCATCTTTGAGAAAGAAACCATAGAAGTGAAATCAGGCCGTTCTTACTATGTCTCATCAGGCTGTATCAGTTTCCTGTGGTGTCCGTAAAAAAGCACCACAGCCGGGGCGGCTGGGACAGTGGAGGCATATGTTCTCCTGGTTCCGGAGGCGCGGGGTCCCGGTCCCGGTCCAGGCGCGGCACAGGTCCCCGTCCCCGGTGGCAGGCTGGCCCCTCCCCAGGCCCCTCAGGGCTGCAGGCACCATCTTCCCGCCACGTCCTCCGAGATCCTGACCCGTGCGCGTCTGCGTCCCACTCTGCTCTCCGCGGGAACTCAGTCCTGTGGGACGGGCCTGCCCAGGGGGCCCGATGTCACCTGTCACCCTCTATGCACAGTCATATCCATGGCACAGGGGTCAGGGCTCCCCCCGTGTGGGTTTGGGGGGGCAGTTCAGCCTGTGACACAGGCAGTACGGG